AGTTTGTGTTTGGATATTTATGTTTTTTCTGATATTAAACTATCCATATTTTCATGGCATGAATTGAACTGGTGATAGTGAATATATCCTTTGGCTATATTGCTGCAGTCTTTAGGCTAATATTTTAAGAAATAATGATATTGGTTTATCCCATTCTTTATATGCATTATCCCTCCTTGATTTAGACTTCAAGCCCCAGGGAGTCTGATTAAGGTGCTTATTATCTCCATTTCTGCAAATAATTTATGTAACTTTGGAATTAATTTTTATTTGAATGCTCAGCAGAATTTGCTTTTAAGTCCATTTGGGCCTGATCTTTTTTACTCTGAAAGTTTAATGTCTATTATGTCTATTTCTGAGATTTAAAAAAAAGATGTTTCTTTTAAAATTGTTATTTTGTGTTTTCAGGTATTTATTTCATTTAAATTGCCAGCTTTGTTCCTTGTAATTGGGTATAATATTTTCCAACAATTTCCATTATTTCCTCTTCATTTGTTGTGAATTTTCTGTGATTTTTTTTTAGTTTTCATTGGTTTAATAAAAATCAAATTAGCTAATTATGACTTTTCTGCTTAATTATATTTAAAAAAACTTAGCTCTTAATTTTATTTCTCAACTAGGTAGTATTTTTTGTTTGTAATTTTTTTGTTTTATTTGAGTTTTTCTGCTGCATTACTATTGCTTCCATGATTGGGCTGATTTGCACCATTAGGTTCTTTCCATTTACCATAGTTGCATAGTGTACTAATCTATGGCAGACTAAGTACTAAACATAAATCAGGAGATCTTTCTTGATTGGCCTCAGACTCAGGATAACCTGGGATTTACTTATTTCTGATAGATACTATATGATGTGATACAAGTCATCTAAACTCAGGGTGCTCCAACAATTTCTTTAAGACTATAAATTATAAAAAAGTTGCTAATCTGCCTCGGTAGGGGTGGGGGATGTTAGAGTAAAAGAAATAGCATAATTTTACTGCTATGTTAGTCTACACAATTTTGTCTGCCATACATTTGAAAAGATATAGATAATCTGGAAATGATCTGGAGAATGAAAATTAAAAAGATTAAGGAAGCAAGATAGTTTAGTTTCTGTATGAGAATAAACTAAAAAAAAAAGACTTGACTGTGTTCAAGAAGGATGACGGCTGAGAGATTTGCCTAGATCATCATGAAGAGCATGTTTTGATTAAACCTTGATTAGTTTACTAAAACCTAGAATACCAAAATTGGAGTATACCTTTAAGGCTGAAGGGTGATAATTTTAGGAAAATTGAAAAGGGGAGTTATTCATGCTGGGGGTAATGAATTTGTGATTTGTTACTTGATAGGTTGAAAAGCTAAGTACATAAATTCTTAGATGATAAATCTGCTCAGGAACTGTGAGAGGAGTATCTACACTAGAAATATTAAACAAGCTGATTCAACCTTAAATCATAACAGCTTATTCTTCTGTGGCAGGAGTTCTTAACCTAGGGTCTATGGACTTAGTAAAAACATTTTTTTTTGATAAGTACATTTCAGTGTAATTGGCTTCTTTTTAATCAGTTATATCCTATGCATTTCATTTGATGTATTTAAAAACATTATTCTGAGAAGGGGTTCATAGATTTTTACCAGACTACCAAAGAACCCTTTGACACAAAAAAAGTTAAGAACACCTACTCTATGGGAAGCCCATTATCACTGTTGTAATAGTCTGGCTATTGAAAATAAAATACATTCACACCTCTGAAAGAGAACCACTTTTATCTGTGTGTGATCTTTGCTGTGACTTAGATTTTAAATCCTCAGAGCAGAAGCTGAACTGTCTTTGTAATCTATCTCTCTGTCTATCTCTACTTGCACAGGGTGCTCAACAAATATTATTAACTTCATGAAAGTATTCTATGAAAGTATGTAATATAAATATATGGTTTATGTTATGATTAATGATTACAAAGATTGATGGTTTATGAACAGCATAAGACATTCTTTGAATAATACATAAAAGACTAAAGTAATCTTATTTTGCCTTGCACATAGTTGTTTAACATGTATTTGTTGAATGAATGCATTTGATAGGTAGCATATTCTCTACCCTTCTAGTAAAAATGACATCTGGGGGAGATGGAGGGGATAGCTCACTATGTGGAAACTTTCCACTGTGTGGAAACAGATTAGTAATTTGTATTCTTAAAGAGTTGCTTAAGGGTACTAATGGAGAAATATGTGTGCATTGGTATGGCCTGGAAATTGCTAAGAAGTTAGGTAAAGACTTGCATCTGGGCAAGGTAAGGCAAAACCCTATGTATTAGAGCCTAAGGTGCTTCCATGGGACAAATCCAATTTTCCAATGGGGAGGAGGTAGGAATGAAGTCTAGAGTGGAGGTGGCGTGGTTTTAAAGGTGGAATAACTTTTCCCTGTCAAAACAGAAAACCAAAAGGCAAAAACATGGAAGTACTTATTAAGTTAGGATTCCAGAAAAATAGTTATTGAGTTTTTCATGCTCTCAGAGGTAGTATGATGCCTTGAAATGGTTTCCCTTCCTTTTTACTTTACCTGATTAAGGAGATAAACATTACGCAAGACTATCTGAAGGTTAAAAAGAAAAACTAAGAACATCTTTTTAATTAGCCCCTCATGTAAGTAGAGCAAAACATTGATGACTAGGGTGGGAATAAGTTGGCAGCTGAAAAAAGCTGGACAGTGTGACTTTTAACAGCAAATTGGTCTAAAGTCTTAGAGGTATTTAATAAGTCCAGGAGATATTTAATTACAGCAGTAGAGTTCATGTGAACTGGAAAGCATTCACATTGGAATGCCCACTGATTATACGTAATGATCACAGTTATAGATTAATGAGAAAAATGTCAATTTAAGGTGTGAAGGGGATTTTTATATATTATTTTTCAACTTGTTGCTTTCTTAATGTTGCATAAATTCAGGCGTTTTAAGTAATAATTTTATAAAATACTAACTAAAACAAAAGAAAGGAAAAGTGCCATTGTCTACAAAGAGATGTGTGGTATAATGCAAAGAGCATCTAGCTTTGATCCTTATTAACTGTGTGACTTTGGCTGTCATTCTCCCATTCTGGGCCTTAGTTTCTTCATCTGTAATTGGCAATAAAATACTTGCTCAAGATAGTTCACTTGGTTGTTGTATGTAAAGGAATTTCAAATTATTAAAAGTTGTTTATTATTTATAATATAAATGAGAGGCAGCATGAAATAATGAGTTGAATGCTGGATTTAGAGTCAAGAAACATGGGTTCACATCACCTCTCAAATACTTAGTGGTGTACTAATTGAAAGTTATTTAATCCATCAGGTAGATTGGGTTCATATTGTGGTCCTTAAATATTTGGCCATGGAATTAATATTTTATTCTATAGGGCAGAGGTTCCCAAACTTATTTGGCCTACCATCCCCTTTTCCAAAAAAAAAAAAAAATTACTCAGCACCCCACGGGAAATCTACTTTCTTTAATCCTTTTTTTTTTTTTTTTGAAATTTGCTTCATTTCAAAAAAATATAAAATATTTTTTAAAAAATGATGCATCTTAAATTTAATAACTTATTGTATTTGTGGGTTTTTCTTGCATTGAAATTTTGATGACACAATATTGTATCATGTAACTATATAATATCATATTGTAAACAAGTCATTACATGCACATGCTCCTGTTGATGCATGCTGGTCTTCCTGACAATGCATGACATGCTTGCCTAACAACACTTGCTTGTTAAGACCTGTCAGTGGGACTTGACCACTGATTGGTTGTAACTTGCATTTTGTGTGTTTATTTGGAATATAATGGAATCACTATGGCTTTAACCCTGTTACACAATAGATGAAACATGTACAAATTGTTTTTCAAAATTTTCTTATCTTTTCTTTCCTTATGCTTCCATCACCCCCTATTTTTATTCACCCAAGCCTACTTCTATCCCCTGGACCATTCCAGTGCCCCCTAAGGGGCAATATTGCCCACTTTGAGAACCTCTGCATGATAGGGGAAAGTTGAAGTTTGAGAAGCAGAATGACATGAACAAAGGGGTGAAATGGAAAGATAGGTCTAGTAGCATATTCCTCACCAATCCTTATGCCATGCCTTTTTTGTCCATATCTCTTTTCTACACAATTAATAAGTGATGTTATGGAAGTTACCCTTTTGGAAAAAATAATATCCGGTGTTATCATGAGCATCTTCAACATTATTTTTCTCTGTGATATCTTTAACATTAATTCGCTCTATTATACCATGAATTATTGTGAGCATTTTACTGCCTGACATTTTATTGTAGCATGTTGTGAACTTGGTTCTTTAAAAAAATTCTCTTTGAATTCTAATCATTTTTTCAAGTTTCCTTCAAAGTCCCAATTTCACAAATTTTTATTACATTTAATGTAATCACAAAAGGACTAAATTAAAGTTTTCAAAATTAATGAAGGACAATTCATCAATGTATTTTAAATATGTAATAGTTGCAAATGATTTTGCTAGCTTTCTAAACTTCCCAAACCACTTCACCTTAACTATAATCATGTGCTGATAGATTTGTGTACCCTGCACTTGATTGTTTTTCTTCTTAAAAAAAAAATAGAAAAGAAAAGAGCCATCTTAATAGAGCATCTTTAAGAACTTTGCAATTCAGTTTTGACCCAATGGTAATTTCACAAGGGAATCTTTTTGTTTATTTCTTAAATTTCTCACCAGTGATGTGCTTAGCATTTATACAAGCATGTTGGAATCAAGACTGTGCTACTGCTGAATTTTCAGATTTAATGAAAGGCAATTCATAAATGTATTTAACAATGTTTCATAGCTGTAAACTATTTTCCTGGCTTCCTGAAGTTCACTACCTCAAGTTAAATATAGTAGGATGCTGATAGACTGAGCAAGCAGTGATGATATTTTGATAAAAAGGAATTAAATGTATTTACCTAATTCTTTAGTGCTATCTTTGAAATAATCATGTTGATTGGGGGGCGGGGTGCATATCTTTATTCAGATTGGCCAGCTGGCTTTTAAGGGAGTGAAAAGACTCAACCGAATCCAGTCAATAGTGTTTGAGACAGCCTACAACACAAATGAAAACATGCTGATTTGTGCACCCACTGGAGCTGGAAAGACTAACATTGCCATGCTTACAGTCTTGCATGAAATTCGACAACATGTTCAACAAGGTGTTATCAGAAAGGATGAGTTTAAGGTAGGAAATCAATGAACGTAACAACAACTTTTGAAATTGTAAGATAAAACCCATTATACAGTTATACACATTATATGAAATGCAGAAATTTTCAAGGATATTGTACTTGCTGAAGTCACAGAGACAATGCTGCTTGATTTAGTTCATTGAGATTAAACCAGTCCCTGTGTTCTGAAAAATCTTATTACCCATGTGAAAAGCTATGAAAATACATTTAACTTTGAAACAGGAACAATTTTCAAAGTGATGATGCTGTATAAACAAAATCCATTGTCCTCTAAACAGCTGCACACTTATCCAACAAAGATAACTACTTTTCATATATCACTATTAAGATTTTTCACTTGAAGGGCCTAGAATCATATTTCACAATACATTGTGATTTGTATTGGTTGCTGTGAAACAAGTGATGTTGTGGCTTTAGCTCGTTTAACAAGCTGGTGTCCTTTTCATACAGATAGTGTATGTTGCTCCAATGAAGGCTTTGGCAGCTGAAATGACAAATTACTTCAGCAAGCGTCTGGAGCCATTGGGCATCACGGTGAAAGAGCTGACTGGTGACATGCAATTGTCCAAAGGTGAAATTTTGCGAACACAGGTATGTTAAGTTAATATGAATCTTTTTAAAAGAGTATGTTACTTTTTTTTGTATATATGTGATGAAAAGAAAGGCCAGTATTGGTACGTATGAAATGCATCAGGTAAATCCTAAAAATATTGATGCTTTAAAAAATTTTTAATTCCTGTAATTTCCATTAGTTATATGACACAACTCTCTTTCACTGTTTGTTTCTTCATCCATACAGATATAGCTTATATTTTTGTTGTACCTTGAACATATTGCTGAAGTCCAAATGTGTGTGTCCAAGACACATTGTAATCTACAATGAACAGTTGTGTTTTATTACTATTTGCTTTTTCTTATTTTATTTGAAATTGTAAGAGAAGAAGTTGTTGTTATGAAACCATTAGGAATCATCATCAGAAGTAGGAAATATATAGTTCTTTGAAAGGAACATACTTTTACCTGAAATAGTTTCCCATAGGCTTAATAGAAGCATATCAATCCAAATAGTAAAAAATTTTCAATGATTCATACTTTTATAGATTCAAAGATTCATACATTCATTCAAGAGAAATGGACCTGTATTAGAAGAAGTAGAAAATAAGACCTGCCTTCAAAGAGCTTCTGTCAGGGGTGGGGAACCTGTGGCCTTCTAGGTCCTTGGGTGTGGCCTTTTGACTGGGCCAAGTTTTACAAAACAAATCCTTTTATTAAGGGGATTTGTTCTGTGAAGTTTGTATTCAGTCCAAGGGCTGCACTTGAGGACCTGTAAGACCACATATGACCTTGAGGCCACAGGTTCCCCACTCCTGGCTTATGCTTTTAACTCTAGATCCAAGACATATAGCTAGACAGCAACTTGGGGGATAAATAGGAGCCAATTTATAAGATATTGAATGTTACAACTTTTGTGTAAGTACTAAGGAAACATCAAAGAAGGAGTGATAGGAGGGGTATAAAATATCTCATAGTATTCCTGTGGAGATTATGATGAGATATTAATTAGATGATGATATTATCAGATAGTTTTCAGAACTGGCCAGATACAGAGTAGTTGTTAATGGTTCAGTGTCATTGTGGTAAGAGGCCTCCAGTGGAGTCCCCCAGGGATCTGTGATTAGTTCTGTGCTTTCTAACATTTTTACCAGTGAGCTTGATAAGAGATATTGTTGGCATACTCATCAGATTTCCAGATGACATAAAGCTAACACCTTGGGTGATGAAGAATCTTGACAGGGTAAAGGAGGAGTAGCCTATGTATGGCTGAGGGCCAAATCCTTCCTGAAGGCTATATTTGTAGGCTATATTTCAAAATAAAGTTTTATTGTATTCTAAAATGTAAAAACCAGGATTTGGTCCTCAGGCCAGTTTGCTAACTCTTGAGCTAAAAAATTGGCCTGATAATAATAAGGTGAAGACACATGTATAGAAAATCAACTTTACACATATAAAATGGTGGTCAGCTAGCAGTAGTCAGAATCTGGTCTACAGGCCACTGGAAATCACCAAAAGGGTCTCCATGAAGTCAAAACTAATAATGCTACTAAAATGTTATTTGCCTATTAAAATAATCTTCCCTTTTCCAACTATGTATTAGTGTGATACCAAATTTTCGTCATATATTTCAGCCAAAAACAATATTCTGAAACATAATGGGAGGAGTGTGAGACGTCGAGTCAGGCTGGAGTGTTTTTTTTCTTAGCTCCTCAACTGCACCATAGAAAGTGTTCCAGACTGAATTCTGATGAGGAAAGCCAAAAAAGAGTCCTGGTGAGTCCCTTTTCCAGGCCAGAGAAGCTTAGGAAGAAAGAGAAGTCTGTGGACACTTGAGGGCAAAAGGGGGCTGAGCAGGAGCATGGCACAGCAATGAGTGCAGGAAGGAAGCATTCAACACCTACGATGTTTAAGGGCGTTGAACACTGGGGCAAGAAACTTGGGCAGAAAGAGATCCCAGGGGACCCCTGTGTCAACACTGGGAGCAAGAATGGATACAATTTGGCAGCTCATTATCTAGTCCTGGGTCACAGTTCCAGGGTGGAGAGGAGTGTTTGAGATGGAGCAAGGGCCCTGCCTTTGTAAGGAGCAAGGAATAGACTTCTCCCCAGATTATACTACTTTGTAAGCACTGGAAACTTAATAGACTTTCATACTAAGCCATGAAAGCAGTAGGACAGAAAAAGACAGAAGTTCATGCTAGGCATTCATCTCCCATTTCCCCTCTTCCCTCCTAGAAGTGAGCAGAGCCCAACACTAACAAAGTCCAAAGTAGACTGGAAAAACAAGCAACCAAAAAAAGAACCCAACCATAAAAAATTACTGTGGCAACAGGGAAGCTCAGGACACAAACACAGAAAACAAATGGCTTGAAAAATATCTTCAGAGCAAAGTTGTAAGGAAAATTTCAAATTATGTATAAGCCCAACAAGAATTCCTAGAAGAATTAAAGAAAAATGTTTTTAAAAAGCACAATTTTTTTTAAAGTCAGATAAGATCACTAGAGGAATAATTGAGAAAAGAAATGAGAGCTATGTAAAGAGAATTAACAGCTTGGTTAAAAAAGAGATACAAAACTTCACTGAAGAGAATAACTGTTTAAAAATTAGAATTGGCCAGGTAGAACTAATGACTCTATGAAACATCAGGAAACAATAAAACAAAGTCAGAAGACTGAAAAAAACAGTAGAAGAAAATATTAAGTATCTTACAGAAAAAACAACTGGCCTGGAAAAAAGAATAAGGAAAAATAATCTAAAAATCACCAGACTATTTGAAAGCCACAAAAAAAAAAAAGAGCCTACACATCATATTTCAAGAAATTATAAAGGAAAACTGTCCATACTCAGAGGGCAAAATAGAAGTTAAAAGAATCCATCAGTTACCTCCTGAAAGAAAGAGTATAAAGAGATATTGAGACCAAAAAGTTTGAAAACTACAGGTCTAAGTGAAAGCTGTCAGCGTAGTGAAGAGCCTAAAATCTGTGACCTGAGAATCAGTTGAAAGAACTAGGTGTATTTAGTATGCAGAAGAGATGACTGAGGAACAAGTATTGCTGTTTTCAAATATTAAATAGACTTATATGGAGGAAGGATTAGAGTTGTTCTGTTTCATCTCACAGGACAGACCCTGGAGCAATTGGTAGAAGTTGAAAAGAGGTGTATTTAAGCTTAACAATGAGAGAGTTCCATAAGTGGAGTGGCCTGCCTAAAGTAATAGTAGATTCTTTGGAAGTATAGAAATAGAAGTTGAATGAGTACATTTTCCTTCTTGTATGGATTGGACTCCATGGCTATCGAGGTCCCTTCCAAATCTCACATTTTGTGAAATATATCTGGTTTAGTTTACCGAAAGACAGTGACCAGTTTTGTAATTCCCATGATTACTCTAAAATTATTTTTCTTGATTATACTTTTCCACTTATTTTAAACTTTAAAAATTTTATCTAAATTAGTAACTTTTGTTTATGTGAGCTTCATGAGTTTGCATTTTTACATTTGGTGAATTCAAATACAAACTTAAAGATTTAATGTATAAATTATGTAAGATAAATTAATTGTGCTTTAGCTGAACCATTAATCAAGATCATAGTTAAATATATTAGAAAGAAATATTTGTTGTTTGTTGTACTAAGGTGATTTGAATAAGCTCAAGGGTGTCACCTGCAGGTGAATCAAACAAACAGTTGGAAGGACAGAACTACCACAATACCATCTCAGTTGCTTGTTTTTGATAAATTATAGATTAAAAGTATTTGTTAATGTATAGTCTGATAAGACACTTTTTCTTCCTTGAATATTTCTTGAACAAGACACTCCTAATGCTCTCCCTCCTTATCTGCACCTCCTGGCTTCCCTGACTTTCTTAAAGTCCCAAATAAAATCTCACCTCTACAGGAAGTCTTTCCCAATTTCCAGTCCCAATTCTAGTGCCTTCCCTCTGTTGGTTATTTCCTGTTTTACCTTTAAACATCTTGTTTGTACATAGTTTTTTTTTTGCATTTTGTTTCTTCCCCCCCGTACTTCCCCCACCTATCCCCAAACACTGTGAGGTCTTTATAGTCAAGGACTATTTTTTGCCTTTCTTTGTGCATAGCACAGTGCCTGGCATATAGTAGGCACTTAATAAATGTTTATTGACTGAAATTTGGGGTAAAAACATTAGAATGTGAATGCCTTGAGAGCCAAGGTCCTTCCTACTTTTCTGTTTCTATCTCTAGCATTCAGTACAGTCCTTTGCATGTAGTAAGCACTTAATAAATGTTCATTTATGCGTTAATTTATTCTCCTCTCCACCATTCATATAAGCCAGTGAGCAAAGGCTGGCATAACTTGTTTTTGGTAAATCTGTACTAGTTCTTTCGGATCACCAGTTCTTTTTTAGATGGCTACCATCTCTCTAAGTTTTGTTTGTTTTGTTTGTTTGTTTTTTTGTTTTTTAATGTTTTCTGTTTTTTGAAAAGGGACAGTTGGGACAACATTTGGCCTTCAGTATTCCTGTAGCAACTTCGGCATTCAGTCTTTTAAAAAAATATTGATGATGATTTAATCATCACAGCACCACTGTCTTCATTATCCTGGGATTGTAGGTAAACTGTTTTTGGTCACTTTGAATTCGTCGAGGTCAGGCAAAGATTTTATCTCCTTATTTACCTTAAGTTTTGACATCCCATTAGCCATTTTTGTTCCATTTTGTGTAGCATTAAGATAAGGAGCCAAAACAGAGGAAATGGAAGAAAAATAAAAGTTGAGTTGTTCCACCTTTCTCTGTCATCTGTTGTTATTATTCCATTTATTTGGAACAACTGTCCTTTGCTTTCCATTTCTCTCTTTTCCCCCCATATTGTTTAAAAAACAAAACACCACAAGAAACCTTTCTTTTTTTTTTGCTGTCCTTATACTATTCTATTTATTCTTGGACAGCTTTAATTTTTAGAAAGTTATTCCTTGTATGAACACTTAATATGCCTCCACGCACTTCCAGGCCTGGGTCCTAATTTTGTCTTCTAGAGCCAACCAGAACTAAACTTGTTACACTTG